CTTCCCAAGAGCACTTATTGACCCATCCTCAGGCCTCCCGAACCGGCTTCCCCCTGGTGCTGTGCCCCCAGGAGCTCGCTTTGACCCCTTTGGACCCATTGGGACCAGCCCATCTGGGTAGGTATTCAGGTAATCTGAAAGGTGAGATTTGATGGCAGTTCATCCTAGCTTAGTTTGGCATTGCAGCCCAGGTATCAGTAACCACTGCTGCCTCCCTGGAGCCTTCCAGGAATTCTCTCTTCACCTCATTCCCTTGGTGTCTTAGAGTTATCATTGCTGTGATGGATCACTATGAACAAAAGCAACTTGGGGTGTAAAAAGGGTTTATTCTGCTTACACTTCCACATCAGTGTTCATCGAAGTGAGTCAAGAGAGGAACTCAGAGAGCAGGAACCTGGAGGCAGGAGCTGATTTAGAGGCGATGGGGGAGAGCTGCTTACTGACTTGTTCACCTTGGCTTGTTCAGCCTGCTTTCTTACAGAACCGGCCCAGGGATGTTACCACCCACAATGGGCTAGGCTGTCTCCTATCAATCACTAATTAAGAAAATGCTGTACAGGCTTGCCGACACTCCGATCTTGTGGAGGCATTTTCTCTCAATCAAGGCTTCCTTCTCTCAGATGATTATAGCTTGTATGAAGTTGACATAAACTAGCCAGCACACTAGGACTCAGAGGAAGAGATGCTTGTTCCCATAGTCCTTTTACAAATGAGAAGGGCAAGGCCTGGAGACTGGGTATTTTAGCCAAAGTAAGATTAGACCCAGGCCATTTGGCCCTAGAGTTCATTATCTTAAACTCCATGTCACTCTGTGGGCCTCCTCTATACAGGGCATGTTTCCTGTGTACTCAGCCCTATCCCTCCAACTCACTAGACCCTTTTTTCCATTGCAGACCTAATCCAGACCATCTCCCCCCACCGGGCTACGATGACATGTACCTGTGAAGGCCTCAAGAATGTAACATCTCAGCCTCCCTTGCACTCTCCTGGAGCTGCCATCACTGGCCCCATCAGTGTTCCTGTTCTTGTGGGCTCAGGGCAGAGGATTCTGCCCATGTGTTTGCAGGCTTGCTGGGGTTATATCCCCAGCCCTTGTCAGAACCGAGGCGCCTGCTGCAGCACCCCACCCAGCTGCATATAGGTCCCAAGGAGAAATCAGTGTGTGTCTATCATCACCAGCTCCTCCCCACTTCCAAGGGAGACTCCGGCAACATAAACCCTCCACCCGATGCAGTCCCGGTCACAGCGCTATAAGA